AATAAGGACCAGAAGTCATCAGAAACGTGTAGCTCCAGAGGACCGTCGTTAACCACTGGTGAGGAAAAGTTCAGACTCGAACAATCGGAGCGCTGACATGAGACGTGGTGAAATAAAAAGGAGGTGAGTCTACGCTGCGCGATGTGGAAGGAAAGACCTTGAGAAGGAAAAAAAAAAAAGAAAGAAAGAGAGAAAATCTGCTTCTTATTGCTGACTGTTAATCAAAACACATTACAGATACAAGCTGGAGGAAGGTACCCTCATCTCAGCACAGATCAAGGTCGATGTTGGCTCTTTCTTTTTGCCTCTTTCATCCGGCAAGTGTAGTACAGCTTGATATGAATATCCATGCCCTTAACGGCACTCCTGCTGTGTCAAGGTTGATAATACGGCTGTGCTCATATCTAAAGAACCTATCTGGTGTATAGTTACACTGATGAGAGCTGACGGGAGTAAAGCATGATTCAAATTTTGTTAATTTTGAGCACAGGACGGTGAGATTTGGTAACTGATATTAATGCAAAGTGTGGTTGAAGCTGGTGGTTGGTTCTGAAGATGCTTGATTTTTCCTACTTTTCATCTTCAGGGAACCACAAAAAACATCAACAAGCTTCCTGTCCAGCCAATATATTTGGAGATTTCTGAAGCTAGTGTTGCTAAAAGCGTTCCTAAAACACCTAAATTCACCTTTATTACCGGATAAATGAACTTAAGAGCTGCTGAGGCGCACCGACGGCGGTTTGAGAGCTCCCAACATGTCTTAATGTGGCCGCTGCTAAGGATCAGGGTGACATGGCCGGCAGATTGAGGCAGGTGATGCCACATTATCGGAGTGATAAGTGAGGGAAAATAACAGTTGATGGATGGAGGAGAGAATAAAGAGACCCTTTAGGCCTGGTTGAATATATTGCGGCTGTAATTACCACCAATATCTGTCAATGGCTCATTCAACGTTTGTCACAGGTTCAGGGCGTTACTTAACCTTGCTGAGCCTAAGTAGAATGAGAGCGAAAATGATAATCGAGTGGTCATTACAGATGAGGATCTTGTGTTAATAGGTGCTAAATGATCATCTAGGAGGGAATAAATGACTCTGAATGGCTGAGTGGGAGACGGTGGATGGAGGATATAGCATCATTATTACTGGATAGTATCGTTGCTATTGACATTTCCAGAATTAAACTTATGAGGAGCTGCAAGGAGGAGACCCTCCATGCTGGCAAATCAATAAAGCAGCTACTTCTAATTAGGAGGCAAAATTAAAATGCAAAACCAATGGCTGGTTTGGTCTTGAAACCACAAAGAGGCAGATGTAAAGTCACCCTGCCTTTCCTTGACAGTACTTTTTTTTTCCTGCCATTTAAAACTCATCGTCTGTATTTCAGCGTTGGAACCACTTTGTTGCCATTAAACCTCCGGTTCGTCCTTCCTTTCAGCGCTCACCTTGTCCTACTTTGTCAACTCTTGGGTCTATCAGAGAATTTTTCTCCAGGCAGCTTTTTACCCGTGAGCGTCTGATACGAAACACACAAAGGAAACATGCCGCATGAATCAGGAAAGCCCGGCTGATTAGCATACGGCAATATGTGCCGATGCATAGCGCGATACTCTGCACAGGAGGTCAGAAGGCAGCACATGAACTGGAAACTGCCGGATAGTTCTGTTAACGGTCTCTGGACAATCGTGTCCTCGTTCGTTCCTCATTGCAGGCAAACGCGTAGCATCACATGTGGAGCTCACAGGTCTGCAGCAGAAGTTTGAAAAAGTGAGATGTGTGTTGAAGAGGAGCCGCAGATGGAAAGCTGTGTGGCAGCGATGCTTTCTAGTGAGAGGAGCAGGTGTGTGTCGGTGTTCTAGGAACGACAGGGAGTTAGTGATTGTAGTTTGACCTGTTGGTTTGACCCGCTGAGCAGCACGGTCAGCAAATGGAGCCGAAGCAGCGGCTGTGACGGAGTCGATGCTTCGGCCGACTTCTCTGAAACCTGACACACAGCCTGGACTGTTTGAGTTGCATTTTTACTTGTCATTGTCTGTGACGTGCATAGAAACAGAACATCCCTAAATGCACTGAAAAATCAGTGAAGGAAGCAGCTCATTATAACTCCTGAGCTTGCTGTAGATCATCGTGCCTTTAACTGTTTCTCTGTGAAATCTGCCTGTCTATCCGTGGAAACTCTGCAAACAGAAACTACAGCTAATTTGGTACACATTTAATGACTAATATGTAAACAGTAGCTCCTAAATGTAAAGAATCACACTTGGAAAGCTGCAGCAACACTAGACTCTGAGTATAAAGAATCCTGCCAGAAGATTTCCTCCAAAAGGTCGTCTTTAAAGCCTCCATCAGCCGCGATGACTCTGACACACCCTAACACAATACAGTGTGGTGTAAATAACAGGTTCTTTTTTAGTAGGATAAGCAGTGATCAGCTGAGACGGGCTGACAGTGATGTGTTCACCCCTATACATGTCAACGTCACAGATCACAGGTTCCGCTGCAGTAGCTGAATTTCAGCAGATATCATCTCAGTCATGAAGTGACTCACAAGTGATAATGAAAGACAACAGGGGCATTAAGACTTGCTGCTCGTTAAAATAGCTTGGAAAAGTGAGAGGAGGTTTGGATGAAAGCCTGCTGCAGTCATTAGAGCTGACAGCTACCTGTGTAGGGAGCTGACATCAAAATGGAACCCAGACATCACATACTGGGTTGTAGCTCCGCGTTGCTGAAGGCTCCAGGAAAAAAAAAAAAACAGTATAAACAAAGTTCAACCCATGAATAAGTAAAAATGAATGTTTTGATCTGAGGATTTTGCATCCAAGTCAAATTGGGTTTCACTGTGGCGCCACAGAGATTCAGCGTCAACCAGAAATAAAACGGCCGTCATTACCGCAGCGGTGGGAACAGACAGAAAAACACAGAAAGAAAGTCGTTGTGTTGACTCAGTGTCCAGCACCTGTCAGCGAAAGAGCAGAATAGCAATAGAGCAGCGGGACGGCCGTTCTGCTGTGTCTTTATTTTATCTCCTCTTTTCAAGTTTCACATCAATTTTCTTTTCTTGAAGAAACAAATCCAGAAGTTTGAGAACCACCGACTTCATATTTAGATGGATGAAGCCTTCATGACGTCGACCCGTTTCCTGTGTGGTTTCCGGTGTGGTGGCTCCAGCGGCACCTGATTCCTCTTGAGTCCAGGCTCATCCAAAAACGAGCAACGAGGTAGAGCGCTAAGTGGAGCTGAGGTGGACCACGCAGACGTCTCTGGGGTGGAACCAACTTCTCACTCAAAGCAGCCATTAATTCTGCTGTAAATAACATGAGCGTCTTTGGGAGCTGACTCGCTTTTGGAGCCCGTCTCAAGGAACTGCAGTTTCTGACACTTAGTGATCATTTTTCAGCCTTCGAGGTGGACGCTTGGTGTTATCAGACATTACCTCTGAGGCCAGACTGAGCAGTTTCATCAGTATTTCCTTGTGGAGGATAGATGAAATGAAGTCCTACTCTGGAGTGTTGGTATGAAATCAAGGACATAGTCTAGTTTTCATGGCAGATATTAACAAACAAACAAACAAACAAATGCATTGTTCTAGCAACAGACCAACGAGTAGAGGAACAGCTCATCACTAACTATGCAAAACTTTAAGCTTTAATACAATTTAAATGGGTTAAATATATAAGCATCCACTGTCTGTACAGTTGTTATGAACATGGACATTAGCTATAGAGACCAAAACTGTTCTTTTATTAGACTATAAACAAGTTTATTTCTGCTGTAAAGTTGGACATTTTAACATAGGGTTCTATGGGAGGTTTGGAGCCAGCCTCTAGTGGACATACGAGGAACTGCAGCTTTGCCACTTCTTCAGCCCTGGAGGTTGCTGCTTGGTTACCTGACATTGCCTCCAAGGCTACAGTTAGCATTGCATTACTGGTATTGTGCATGGGATCGATTAAAGAATAAAAAGGCCTGGCTTTGTACTTGCAACAGGCTACAGATTAGAGGAACAGCTCATCACTAACTATGCAAAACTTTAAGCTTTAATACAATTTAAATGGGTGAACTATGTAAGCATCCACCGTCTGCACAGTAGTTATGAACATGGACATTAGCTATAGAGACCAAATCTGTTTTCTTTATTAGACTATAAACAAGTTTATTTCTGCTGTAAAGTTGGACATTTTAACATAGGGGTCTATGAGAGGTTTGGAGCCAGCCTCTAGTGGATATACAAGGAACTGCAGCTTTAACACTTCTTCAGCCCTGGAGGTTGCTGCTTGGCGTTACCTGACATTGCCTCCAAGGCTACAGTTAGCATTGCATTACTGGTATTGTGCATGGGATCGATTAAAGAATATAAAGTCCTGGCTTTGTACTTGCAACAGGCTACAGATTAGAGGAACAGCTCATCAGCGTTTAATCCAGCGCTTACACCATTCGTCTACTTTCAAATTGCATCGCGCTACTGAACCCCATTTACATCACCTTGAGAAATGCAAAGCTTCCATTACTTACAGCTCACTTTACACCGGTAACGCCCTTTAATGGTTCCTATATATTAGTAGCTGCAGAGCGCTGTTATGAACATATTCCATGCAGTCGCAGCCACTGACACCGTGCAGCTTATCGCCACCAAAAGCTTCCAGCAGCTAATGCTCTAATGGCTGTTTTCGATGATTTTCTGTTAAAGGAACCTTTTAAAAGCACTAAACCAGTTCTCGTTCGCTATTCAGAGATGGTAAAAGGCCTGTTTATTTTTTTTAATCCACGGGCAGAGCCAGACTTGCTGTCCCTCCCTCCCTCCCACCCCCCGGCTGTTATGCTAAGTTAACCTGAGCATCTCTTAAAATGTCAAATCATTCCTATGAGTGTGATTGATTAAGATGCAAAAATGCAAAGATATACAAAACACTCACACGTCACGCTAACACTTGTGATAAATGGACACAACCTCCGTAGATGAAACAGCCTCTCAGTAAACACGCAGTCTGCAGAACAGCAGTGTGGGAATTTTCAGTAACGGCTTTATTAAATTAGTGCAAAAGACAGACATAACTTATTCAAAATGTCATCTTTTTCTTGAAGGTGGTCTTCCAAACGAACCCACACACGCTAAGTTCTTTAGATGAGTGCAAGAGAAAAAAAGCGAGACTATCCACCAAAAACCACGGCCTTTGAGTTTCCTTCTCACGCATCTTCTTGGGACTTGGAGTGAGACATGAAGAGAGAACGGGAGAGAGGGCAGAACTGGACGGGAGACAGAATCGAACCTAAACACAAATGCAGTCATCGAAACAAGACTCCTGATTCTGCAATTAATCACAAATTTAAAAAATAATAATAATAAAAAAACAAAAAAACAAAGAAAAGATGTTACAATAAAATAGTCAACACATCAATAGCATTAGAAATAGTGCCTAAAATTCACAGAAAGAAAATGTCCTATTTTTATTTGTTTTGTTTTTTTAAATGTACTCACTTTGTGGGTGACCAAAGAACTTGCAATCAAAGTACATAAGTTAATCAATACTGTATATTTATACAATGGTAAAAAATAAAATATTTATATAATAGTACTTTTTTTTTTCTTTTTTCTTTAAAGGTTTACACCGTTACTATAAAGATATACTGTTTTCCACTCCATGACAACTAATGCAATAAAAACAGAAGCAAATCGAAGAAACGACTCCAGAGAGTTTCCGACTTTGAAGGCTTATGGCTACCACCTTGTCCTAAAAGACCACAACCACTGCAGACAAAGGAAACGGGCTTTGTTCTCTCCGCTTAAAGAGGGAAACAAGATCAAACACAGTCTGTGACGAGAAAAAGAACAAAAAAAAAAAAAAAAGGAACACATCAAAAAAAAAGTCAATGCTCTTCCCCCCCGACCAGGACAGTAGCTCAGCCTTTGCAGTGTTCTCTGGCCCGGTGAGAGACAGAGGGAGGTCAATAGATAGACGAGAGGGGCAGATAGATAGTGGGGTGATGTCTATGCACGGGGAGGGGAGAAAGAAACAAGAGGTAGCTATGAGAGGAGAAACGGGGCAACAGGGGGAGATAGAAAAGGATAGAAGGAACCGGGGGGCAGGAGGAGGAAGGCTGTAGGTTTAAGGTGTGGTTCAATATGAATTAGATTTCTAGCTTTCGTTTTGTTGCAATATCAATATACATGTTGTTTCAAGTATCTCCTACAGATGTGGCGTATTGCCATGAATGCTGCTAATACCCAGTATTTGCCTGCCAGTGCAACGGTGAGGTGCCAAAATGGAATACGATGGAAACTGTAAAAAAGAGATGAAATAATCGATGGTGAATGAAGTGCAAGACGAGAGAGAGAGTGAAAGAGAGGTAGGGGAGGAGGGGGGAAAAGAAAAAAGATTCAAGTAGGGAAGGAAAGATGCAACAAGGAAAGATGAAGAGAAGGAGATGAGAGCGGCAGGAGGATAAGTGTTTAAAAAAAAAAAGAAATGCAGAGTGGTGTTATACAGCAGTTGTGCCTGTGGGGAGTGTGTGTGTTTTCTTGTTTGATTTGTCGCGGTGAGAAGACTTCTTCTCGCTTCTTCTTCTTTTTTTTTCTTCTTCTTCTTCTTCTCTCCTAAGCCTGGGTTGCATGGGGGAGATAAGTCGTTGCTTTTCAGTGTTGCAAAAAAGGGCTACGGGAGGTTTCAGCAGAATCTACAGGCCTGGTGGGAGAAGAGATGAAAGAGGAAGGGAAGGGGTGACGAGAGGAGAGGAAGGGAAAAGAAAACAGAGGGGAGGAAATGTGCGGGAAAGGAGAGGAGACAAGATGGGAGATACTGTAAAGTCAAGGTCATCACCAAACCGGATCAACCGCAATCAATTACACAGGACAGGTGATGGTATCGCATCATTAAAGATTCAGTAAGGACAGAACAGAGAAGTTATAATTATTCACTCGTCGGCCTCCTTTAGGCAGAAGCAGCTATGTAATTGGCTTTAATGTGAGAGCCCGCGCTGGAGCTGTGTCAGCAGGTATCTTCTTCAGCGTTCTGGACGGTTCAATCGATGCGGCTGATCACAAACAACTCTCTCCAAAGTTAGAGCGCAGACAAGTACACCAAGCTTTTGATTTACCACGCCATTAGGAGACACTTTGCGGAGAGGATGCGCTTAAGATTAATTGGGTGCCGACCCGCGCTTGTATAATACTTAAAAGTTTAGTTCGGGATGACGTCGGTTCACGGTGCTGAGGAAGATATGATGCTTCACACAAGATCATCTCTGCGAGGTCGTATGTTAAGCTGTTCTGTTTTCCTCGGTGATGGAAACCCAGAAGAGGTTCACGGTGGAGTTCGTTCTCTGATAATGTGACAGTTTGTCTCGTCGCTCCGGCACAATTGCTTTGAACCAGCGAGGCTGAAACGTGACACGACAAACAGCGCACACAGTCACATGAGCACACACAGCGGGCGCATGCAGACGCACACAGACATGCTGCAGGATGAAATGTGAGAGCTTATCGATCGGCCCGCCATCCCCTCCCGGTCTGCTCTCTATTTCTGACGTGTTCGGAGACGACCGAGCTTCTGACAGAAATCCTCCACACTCCTGTTTGCCATTTCGCTCATCTTCTCTCCCTCTTTACTCTCCTCCCGTCTCCTTTTTCTTCTCTTTATCAGTTCTCTGATTGCGGTATTGAATATGTACCGGGCTTTCTGCTAAAGTCCTTCGGCTCTACTTTAGGACAAAGCAGGAGTCGACGAAACCGAAAGAAAATTGCAGTTGCCATCCAAAATGTTCTCTGAAAGTTCAGGTTAGCTTTTAGTGAGTTGTAGCGGCAGATGTGAATGTCAGATTTGGTACGCAAGTGCAGCCATCAGAGCAGAAAGTCTTCGAATTACAGGTTGAGAAACATTCAACTTACTAGCATGACAATTGTGTGTAATTTGTGTGCTGGTTCTAAAATAAAAGTACAGCTGGAAGGTACAGAACGTGGTCGACATATCAGGTCTGGCACTAACGAGAAAGATCTGAAGGTCAGTTTCACAACAAATAACTCAACATAAGTTAAACGGAGGTGAGCATAAGCAAAATGTTCTGTTTGTAGTTTGTAATGCCACATTAGAGTCCCGTTAAAAAGTGTGTTTGAGCTGCACTTAAAGTCCTGTTTCCAATTAACCTCGTTAATCTTTTTACTTTTGTGGATTCTGTCAACTTGAACCCAGACTTAGTCTCTTCAAACGAGTGTTCTAGTTCAGAACAGGTGTGAAAATGAGCTTTACTGCTCTATTATGACAAAAAAAAATGGGGAAAAAAAAGTCTAATAACAAAATCAAGTTTTCCTTTCAGGTGAGGCAGACTTAAGCTGTAAAACTGAGAATTTGACGTACAGCAACGTAAATGTTCATTTGGGAGGATTCAGATGATTTAAGTCCATCTAACACAAACTGGTGGTGCTAACAGCACTCGTTAACCTAATCTGGATCAGCTTAATTCAACCACATGTTTACAATTGAAGCCAGTTATTGAAGTCGGTCCAATAATTCTTTTTTCATTAAAGCCTTCATTAGCTCAGATGTTGCTTAAATGCTAATAGTGACACTAATTTAGAAAAAAGACTCATCAAGTACGACAATATCTGTAAGAACATGTTTGGTTCAGCTCCTCCTCTTCTGGTGAACTTCAATAGTTTTAAATCTACTACAACTT